TCCCACCAACTGCTCCCACTATCCCCTGTATTGTCTTCTGAATGTCGATTTGTGAAGAGGCAACTACTGTGGTAACAGTAATTTGGAATAATGCACATTTACAAACTGATATTTGATATATAACAGTCCTTACACATGAGCACAAGATATGCAAATGAAGTTTGACAAAAGAAATGCAAATGCAGAAAGGCACTTCAGAAAGTGTCCATTTTGCTTACTGCAAGTTGAAACAAACTCAGCATACCACAGTGCATCTACTGACACAGTAAAACATTTATATAAATGTTTACAAAATATTTATAAAATGTTTATTAAATAATTATATAGTATTATAATCTCATATCATAATCATTATAATATTATACTGTAAGAGAGATAATCATTTATCTAAGTAAGGACAGAACATTCTAGGAAACCAAAAAATATTCTTACCTCTTGACCCAACCTAGTGATCCCACTCTAACAAACATGCACGAAAGTATTAAAGTTTTATATACAACACCAAGACCTGAAACAACTCTAACATTCAACATTCAGAGAATAAATTACTCATAGATCAACATATCATCACTACTAATGTTCATTAGGTATATATAAAACTATACTGTATTCTGACAGTAGCCACAAGCCATATGCAGCTACTTAAATAAAACTGAATTTACCATTCAGTTCCTTAGTCAGACAAGCCACATTTCAAGTGCTTACCTAACACTTTCCATCATCACAAGTTCTGTTAGATAGTGCTGATCTACACAGCTACCTGGACCATCGTCTATCCTCCTTCCCTTATATGCACCCTTATATCTACTTAATCTTCAGGCTTTGGCCTAAGCCTCAACTACTGTGTGAGGTTCCCCCTGATTTATGCAGGAAATTTGGGTATACCTTCTTGTAGTCTCATTACACCTTGGTAACTGGCAATAAATTCCATCACATCATATTATTTCCCCTACCACAATCCTGCAAGCTTCCTTAAAGAACCAACTTTTATCCAAGGGACTTTGAACTGTTCTGCCTTGATAATTTGTCATATACTAAGAGAACTGCTAAAAACAACAGAGATGTACATTATAAGTGAAAAACGTTTATGCATAAGGAATATAATGCATCAAAGAAAAACATGGCTAGGTTGGCAGGCTCACAAGTGATTTTTAATATTATTTATTTTGAGACAGAGAGTGAGCGGAGGAGGGGCAGAGAGAGGGAGAGAAAGAGAAGGCCAAGCAAGCCCCACAGGGCAGTGTGGAGCCAAAGGCAGGGCTAGAACCCACGAACCCGTGAGGTCATGACCTGAGCCGAAACCAAGAGCCGGACACTCTACTGCCTGAGCCACCCAGGTGTCCCATCACAAGTGATTTTTGTTTTCAATTTCTAATTCTTTACATTTTCTTAGTACTCAACATAAGGAGCCTCATTCTCAGAAGGTGTTTAGCAAATATCTGTGGAATAGTTTCTGTATTAAAAAAAAAAAAAAAAGACACCACAAATGAAGCCTAATGTAAACTATGCACTCTGGGTGGTAATGATGCAGCAATGTAGGTTCAACAATTGTAACAAATGTACTACCCTGTTGGGGGATGTTGATAACGGGGGAGACTATGCATGCACCAGGTCAGAAAGCACATGGGACATCTCTCTGCCTTCCAGTCAATTGTGCTGTGAACTTAAAACTGCTCTAAAAATATAATGCCTTCAACGAAAAAGATCCCAATATTTTGTTCCATAATAATATATACCATTGATTTGTAATAAATTTTAAAAACTAGACCACAAATTTCTAACACAAATAATATTCATCTCCAGTGCTTAGAAAATCTGACTAAATTAACTGCAGGTGCAGTGCTGTCGGTGCCATCAATACACTAACTCAACCTCCTCATTTACTGAGCACCGACCCATGCAAAGCACTGTGGACACAGCAGTGAACAAGACAATTTCTGTTCTCACAATATTCTTTCTAAATAACAACTTTATTCTGCAAGATAAATCTTTAACCTCAGCTATCAACAACAGATAGCTCAAAATGGCAAAACAAACTTCTCTTATCCTGATTTTTTTCAAATAATTCAAAAAACTCCTATTAACCTTCAAGAAAGTAGTACATGACCTGGTTTAAAACAAAAAGTTAATGCCTCATTTACTTGGCATTCTTAGGACAGTTGGTGCTCCAAAGAAATGAATTTTTCAGATAACTCACTCTTATCCATTTAAGCACCAACACTTACATTGTTTGGCATGGAGATTTCTTTTTTAAGTGGGAATCTTTCGATTTTTAAAAAGATTCAATTAAATATTATTTTGACTGATAATTATTGTGTTGTACAGCACTCAAGCTCCTAAACTATATGTCCCCAGGGTTCTTTTTTAAAAGTTGCTGGCTTTGAAGAGTTTTTCTTCTGATCCCCAGCTTTGGTGTGTCAGCTGTCAACTTTTGCTGGTATCAGTGTGAACCTGACTCAAGCAGCCTCCAACTCCCTTCAAATTTGCTGCTACTTGCAAAACAAGTTTGTCAGAATTTTGCCTAAAACACACAGGCTTTGAGAGGATCCTCAAATCTACATTTTGGTTGTTCCTCTTCTATTTATTTCCTGAATCTCTTAAAGTTTGCAGTTACAAGTTCCAAACCAAGTTCTGGATAAATTACTGCTATACCCTGATAAAAGTCCTTACATTGTTTTCATATTTAAAACTGATAGTCAGAGATAGCTTCTTTATTTATTCACTCATCCAACAAGTATTAAGTACTTGTGTTGTGAAGTTGGTAAGTAATATTATGGTGAAAATAAAGAACTAAAAAGATTGCTAGTTTTGAACATATTCTAAAATAGAAAAACTCAGAAAAAACTTCTTAGCACTTAATAAAAACAGGGTTGTTGTGTGGGTTTTTTTAATATTAAACTACAAAACCACCTCAGTTTTTTACAATTTCTATAGCTTTAGACTTAAGAACTGAAGATTCAAGGGTTCTATTTAACCAAATATTTATTTTAGAGAGCTCTGAATAAGATTCCAAAATTTTATACCTTTTTTTCCTATTACACATTCCCATCTAGCCCTAAAGAAATCACTAGCAACATATGCTTTAGTTTTAACTGATACTCAAAATCTTGGTAACCATTTCAAACCATGGTAAGTTTATCTTCATTTTAATGTTGAGCAACAATAATTTGATAAAAAGTGTAAATTCAGGAAACTTCCTGTCCAAATTTTCATAAGTTCCTATATTTGGTGTGCAGAAAAATTTTTTTTAAGTTTCAGGAGTAAGAGATGGTGTGGCCCTACAATATTTGCTTTATTTGCCACAATCATATTTTTAAAATTCCATTACCCATTTAAACCTAAGGCTAGGAAATGAGTCAAAGAGGAGTAGGGCTTAAAATTGGTCTCTGAGGATTAATTAAGACAACTGGTAAAAACCCCTGGTGTCAGCCTTACTTGTTTTAATGCTCTTGGAATCTCCTTTCTCATTCATTCTCTCCTCAGGGAGCACAAGTGACTTTTTCTGTATTTTATAATTTTATAACTGATGACTGGTCACCTTTATTATGCAGACTGAACTGGAAATGGGCATTAGTTATGTGCCTGTAATCTGAGACAGTAAAATAATATTTCTAAGTGAAAAAAAGTTACTACCATTAAAAACTATTAATTACTACCATTAAAAACCTTTTCCAGCAATGCATTAACATTTCTTCAACATTAATTTTGGAACCTGCAGATGCTTTAAGCAGTACTATAGAGGCAGAGCATGGACCTAACTTTCAAAATAACAACACAGTATTATTTAAACTATTAGAGTAACCATTAAAGTTGGCTCTGACCTCATCAGCATACCATCTTGTCCCATGATATAAGTCTGATTCTAAATAAAAACAATTCAGAGAAAAATCCAAATGGTCTCTTGCTCTCTTTACAATTTAGGCAAAGAAGCAAATGGCAAATACTGGACACACCTATCATAAGCAAAATCTCCACGAGGTACTATCCACACTACCGGTTTAAAAGAAAAATACAGACCTGGCTCAGGATATTTACAATACAATTGCAGAGAGAAAATATGTTCCATAAAAGATACTAATACTAACCAATAGTAAAAATAAAAATAATTGAATTAAATTAAAAACTGATCATGAACATTTAACATTCTGAAAGCAGAAATGGAGGGCACTTAGTTCAAATGTAAACAAAATTCTTTTTGCCTATTTTAAATCTGGCAATCAAAATCAGCCAGAACTAAGGAGTTGGGCCAACAGCATCACCAAAGAAAAAACCGAAATTCTCAGGAGCAACTGGTATTGGACCATTCAAAACAAAGTCTTCCTGTGAGTGCTCATTAGGAGTTTCTCTCCTAAAATCTCCTTATCAAATTAAAAACCTGGCTATCAACTTTGCGGAAACCTAAGCTTCAGAGAAGCACTCTCGATACTTTTTTTTTTCAAAGCACTTAAGGTCCATCCACAGAATAGGAGCTGGCGAACACCGAGGAGGAATTGGCCTATTGTTCGGAGAACCGCAGGACCATCCGAACGCCACGGGGCGCGCGGGAGCTGGGGGTAGGCAAGGCTCAAACGCGGCACAGGTGTGCGTATGGGGGAGGGGGGACAGGTGTGCCAGGGCCACAACTAAGGTTAGAGAGGCCCGACTTCAGATCCAGACGTCGACTGGATCTGAGGAAAAGAGTCATTCCTGAAGCTTAAACCACGGAGCATGGAGGGGGCGGGCCTGGGGAAGGTCTTAAGGACTCCAAAGCCCACCCGGTTTGGCAGTGGGGGTGGTCGGAGAAGGCCGGGGCACTCAGGGTGTAAAGCCCGAGGATAAAAGAAAAGGCTCTCGAATCGAGGGGCCAGCGTAGAAATCTCTAAACAATGAACCACGCTGGGTCTGGGGTAAATGGCTAGGAGACCAGGGGTGTCGCGGAGGTGGGAACAGGGTGGGAAAAGGGAAACAAAAGAGAAGCCCCCCAAGTGTGGGGCCCCGGTGGCGGCGGCGCCGGCGATTACCTGTGAGAGTTGACGGGGATTGGGGCAGCCGAAGAGCGCGGAGCTGGAGCTGAAGCTGATGGCTCCTCGGCGGCTGAGGACGTGCTGGGGGACCGGCCTGTCCAGGGGCAGCACCGGCAGCTGGTAACATACTTCCATTGAATACGCCCGCCCTGCCCCCGCGCGGCGCCCGCCCAGCCGCGGCCGCCGGCCCCTGTGCTGGGAAGGGGCCGCGGCTCGGGGGCGCCGGGCCGAGGCGGGGGCAGGGAGGGCGGGCGCCGACCCCGGGAAGCCGCGCTCACGCCTTCCCACCCCAACACTCCGCCCGGGCCGCCGGTGGGAAGACGCTGCGGCGGCCGCGGCGACAGTTACGAGGACCGGCGCGCGCCCGGCTCCGGGGTGCAAGCGGGGGCAGCGCAGGCAAAGTGGGAGAGGGAACCCTGCCGCCCCAGATCTCCTCGGCCGGGAGGAACAGGTCCGGGCAGAGCAGAGCAGGAGTGGAGCAAAGACAGAAGAAAGCGGTGCAAGAAAAGACGGCTGGAGCCAGCGGCGAGACCCAGGTCGCACGGGGCTTGGGACCAGCCACCAGCTCGGGCCGCCGCCACCGTCCTGCCCCTCCCCTCCCCCGGAGCCTGACTTCACTCCGCCGCCGGCGCGAGCCCGGCGTAATTCACACTTTGCAGCCGCGGACGGTGCGCCAACCACGGCCGCCGCCACCCTGACGTCACGACGCCGCGCCGCAGGCCCCGCGCCTCCGCAGCGCCCTGGGAGACGGGTTAGCGGCGGTGGGGGTGAACCGTCTCGCTCCGGTTCTGCGCTAGGTCACTGTCCCCTCCCGCCACACACTGCCCCCCTTCCTCCTCTCCTACCAACCTCAACCCATAGCCCCCGCCCAGCTCTCCCTTATCTGCCCTCCACACAAGGCGCGTGCGCACGAGGCCCCACCGTTTGGGGACATTCCCCTTATCGTTAAACTCTTGCTTTCGAGCGCGCTGAGGGTGTGGGGTGGGCTCAGCCTGTCTACAAGCAAGATTCGGGCCTTCTGACCCCAGAGACCCGAAGCACAGGGCGCAGTGGCAGTGCTCAGCCTTAACTGCGGGGTCACCGCTGTGCTTCCCTCCTTGAATTCCCATTCTTGGGCTTCGCTGGGGACCGCTGCGGCAGTGACGTCAGCGGACCGCGCGGGCACCATCCTCCCCGCTACGTCACTGCCAGTCCCTTGGCGGGGCCCGGCTGGGGCTCTCCCCAGGCAGGTACGGGCCCCAGGGCTGTCCCGGGCCAAGGGGAGAAGTGAGGAGTCGAGAATGCGGGAGAGACGAGAGGGTGAAGGGGTGGTGGGGAAACACCGAGACCGAGAAAGAAGAAGTGAGAGTATGCACTGGAAAAAATGAGAAAGAAAGGATGATACTGAGAAGACAAAGGAAAAAAGGATCCTGCATGACCTTTTACCAAAACTGTTTTGGTTTGTTGGCTTTGATTTTTAGAAAGCAGAGAGAGTAAAGAGCTCTTGACCTGCTTTGTAAGTTGGATACGTCATTTGCAGGTTCATTTTGTCAAATTTCTCCCTAAACTGCAATCCATTGTTTCAAATGCATTCCAGCCCCTGGGATGTCGGCCTGAACAAGCTCTTTCCTGCTGGCAAAATTGTTGATTCGGCTCTGCTCTCAGGGGACCCACCCTTCCACTTATTTGCTATGACTAGCCACTGGCAAGATGGCAGATCATTACTGAGGATATCAGGTATCCACTGCTCATGGTTCCATAAATCAATAAAAGTCTGCAAGACTTTTTATCATCTTTCCACAGCATCTGTTTCTTTTACATCACTTAAAACTTTACCTCTTCCATGGTTATTTCTCTACTTGTGTGCTACTATTAAAACAAATATAACTTCCCCTGTGGTTTCATGGATATTGTCTTCACTAGATGGCAAGCTCCCCTTTAGTGCAACAACTGACCCAACTCCTCTTGGAAACCCTAATTACTGCCACAATATCTAGTAGATATACTGAGCATCTGCTGTATGCTTGGGATTAAACTGAGCACTCTCTCTTGTTCTGACAAAAACCCCATGGGATAATACTAAGTTGAAACTAGGTTTAGGGAAACATAACTTGCCCTAGATCTTACTCAGAACTAACCTCAAATAATGTTTGAAATCTGTATACATTTAAACACCCAGAGATGGTATTCGTGTCATATAAAACTGTATATACCAAATTACTGTCACATTTAATAACATTTAAGAGACTCCCATTAAATCATTTGATAAGATTCAGGGCACTAATTAAACAGTGCATCTCCCTTCAGCAGAGAGGGGAGCTAACATTTATTATGCACCCACTGTGAGCCATGACAGGTATTCTACATGTAATGTTTAACCCTTCACAATATTCACATATGTAAAATTTGATACCAATTATACAGATGAGGAATCAGTTTCCAAGACCATAAGTCATTTGTGCCACTGAATTTTGTTCTGTGTGATTTCAGAACCATGCATTTCCACCACACCATGCAGTATCTCAAGATCAGAACTTCAACTGTTCTCAGTGTTCTTTACAGTATTGGGGAGCATATTAGGGTTCTCCAGAAATACAAAACCAATAGAAGATATGTGATATGTATATGTATGTATGTATGTATGAATGTATGTATGTGTATATATATATCTAGAGAGAGAGAGAGAGAGAGATTTGCTGTACACATGCCTCATCTAAGACAGAGAAGCTAGAGGAGCTGCAGGCCCTGCTCCTCCCCTAGCCAGTAAGGTGAGTCAGCAAATCATGTGTAAAATTACAGCAGTGCTTGGGACCTGGCATGGACCTACCAAGTGTAATGGCTGGTGCTTCACTTCCACTTCTCAAATCTTGCAAATTTCTATTGTTGCCAACCAAAACCCTAAAAAGAAGAGAATTCTGGGAAATGTAGTTCCAACTTAGCTAAGTTGATAGTGCAAAACCACCCCAGTCCAAACTCTTGTCAACTTGACCTCCAGAAACACTTTTTAAAATCATATTTAATTTTCAAATAAAGGTCATAGTAAAATCATGCTTATGTCCATATGATGCAACTGTCATACAGCCTGAGACAGCTCCCTCCCTCCCCAAAAGAGGATAGAGTCTTTGAATGATGTTCATCCCTCTTCTTGATAAGTCATATTATTCCTTTGATGTCCTGTAACTTAAACACTAAGATACAAAGTTAGCCACTATTAACACATCTTAGGGGAATGGGGGTGGGGGAGAAAATAATCGGTTAATACATACACAAATGTATTCATATCAAAATGAGGGGAAAATGTTCACAACTATTATAGTCCTTGTATCTGCAACTGGCAATGTAATCATAATGACTACTTATAACTACTTTCTTTTTTCCCCCAATACCAATTTAATATACCCTTTGCCTTCAGCAAGCATCTCAGCTGATAATAGTTTCTTCACTTATGTGGCAACCCATATTTTTATTCCTGAAAAATCTGGACCATTAGAGGTTCTACTTCTACTGGGTTGCTGTGTTTTTTTCCATTAACCTATATAACAGAGTATGGGAATACTAAGAAGCACCCCCAAAGAATCTCCTGCATTCCAGGCATATTCCCATGTAACAGAAACTCAAGATCAGCTTAACAGTCAAAATCGATCACTCTAGGCAGGAGAGTAACCCCTTTCTTTGCATGTTGGTTAAATAGCACAAGGCAGTCTCAATTTACAGACTAATTGAACTCTTGCTTTGTTCAAGAGTTCAAGATGTTCCTGGTGGAACCATCCTTCCTTTGGAACTAAGACCTCTAGACAAGCAAACCCAAAGCTACAGTAATTGGAAACAAAATCTTGCATTTGATTGACTAGGGATAAAACAGGATCCACTTCCAGTCCCACCTCTTGATTCCTGAATCATGAATATATATTTAAATTTAGAACATATGCCAAAACTTGGAGGACATTACCCTAGCTACACAAGGTATTGTCACTCAGATAGATTATTGAGTCTTCTGAGGCCATTTCAATGCTACAACATGGATGAACCTTGAAAACATGCTAAGTGAAAGAAGCCAGATACAAAAGGCTACATAGTGTATGATTTCATTTTCATAAATTATCCAGAATAGGCAAACCATAAAGACAGAAAGCCAATTAATTGTTGCCAGGGACTGAGGAGAGGGAGGAATGGGGAGTGACTGCCTAATGGGTATGGGGTTTCCTTTTGGGGTGATGAAAGTTTTGGAACTAGATAGCGGTGATGACTGCACAACATTGTAAATGTACTTAATGCCATTGAAGTGTACAATTATAAATGGTTAAAATAGTAAATTTTTATCATAATAAAAAGAAAAGAAAGAGGGCCTTCAATCATCCTATCAAGCCAGCTATATCAGGATAATAAGCAACATAATACGACTAGTGAATTATATGAGCATGAACCCATTGCTGACTTTATGTGTTGTAAAATGGGTTTCCTGGTTAAAAGTAACGCTATATGGAATAACACAATGGTGAGTAAAACATTGCATAAATCTAACATACCTGGTGGTTTTGATAGAAGCACTGTGTGTGGGGAAAGAAATTCATTTTCAGAAGAAGTATCTATTCAGTAAGACAAAAGGACTGCCTATTCCATAATGAAAGTAGCCCAATTCAATGTACCTCGTGGATGAGAGACACTTCTAGGAAATGGAAGCTTAGTTGTGGACTCTGCTGTTAGCAAATTGGGCACTTAGCAATAGTAGTAGCCAGATTGGCCTTATTGAGTGGAAATCCATGTGCTGAACCCACATCTCACTTGTATCATGCCATCATGGCCACTTTGTTCATGAGTCTGTTGGTCAGGGCCAGGGATAAATGGGGGGAAAGGCTGACTAACATACATAGAATGTATCACTCATCCAACTGATTATTATGATCATCCTCTAATGAAATTTCTCTTTGGAATCACATGAGACACACTCTGCCCATTCAATCTATCCACATATACCCCTTCCCCAGACCTCTTTGTCATCAATTTTCCGATCATGTTCCTTCCAAGTTCCAGACTATCCCGCCAGTAAGACACTGCCCATGAATCAGTATGATCCATACACCTAGCTATCTTTCTTTTCAGACAAAGTGAGCAATTAGGTGCATTGTTCTAAGTTTTCTCCCAATTATAGTATTTCCCTTCATCACCTTTAGGACTACCCAAAGAGTAGAAATAGTGCTGTAGGTATCTAGTTTCTGCACCATAGAATACAAAACTACTGTTAAGTCAGACCCAAATAGTTTTCTTCTGTCACTCAGCAGGACATAGGGGGCTAACAATAACGCCTTGGATGAAAGTTGAGAGGGAGGAGGCAATGTAGTAGTAGTAGAGATTATGGACAACTGGGACACTGTTCCTACAATTTACTTGAGCCTTAAAAGACTTGCTTGAGGGGCACGTGGGAGGCTCAGTTGGTTAAGCCTCCAAATCTTGATCTTGGCTCGGGTCATGATCTCACAGTTCATAAATTTGAGCCCTGCAGTGGACTCTGTGCTGACCGCATGCACCCTGCTTGGAATTCTCTCTTTCCACCCTCTCCCTCTCATGCTCTCTCTCTCGCAAAATAAATAAACAAACATTAAAAAGAGAGAGAGACTTGCTTGACCCTGATCTCATACATGCCACTTCTACTTAATGATGGACTACTCCTGGGCACAACCAACTTTATGGTTTGGTGTATCAGGATACCTTGAGTATATTATGA